GAGAATATCTCCCTTACCAGCTGGTTGTAAGGATCGCATGAGCTCGTGTGACAGAGAAGATGCTGGAACCAGAGTAGGCAGGGTGGGACTCCTCAGGTGAATGAAACATGGAGGCTTGTTAGGGACCAGTCTTCGCCTCCCTCCTAGCGTCTCCCTTCCACCCTTGACCCAGAATGTTAAGACTGCGCATGAATGTATTTGAACGTCCTTTCCAATGGGAGTCACTTTTTCCCCTCACAGTCTGCTCGGCAAGTGTGGACATAGCCACTGGGAACTTGTACTGGCTGCCCTGTGACCGAAGTGCTATCCAGAAGACCAGAGTCACTGGCGCAGACACACAGACCCTCTACAGAACAGGCGGCATTATACTGCATCTTCTTCTTGACTGGCCAAAGAGAGTGCTCTACTGGGTAGAGAGTGGGAAACACTTGCAAAGTATGACCCTCGATGGCAAAAATAGACAGCAAGTGTGGACAGGCACCTGGACGGCAGACACCCACATGGCCTTAGACCTTGGCTCATCTAGCATCCTCTGGACGACCAAAGGGTCAGGTAAGTTAGAAGGAGCTGGGGAATGGTGGTGAGAGTTGCTCCAGCAGGAGGATTCTGGTCATTCGTAGAACCAGCTAGACCTAGGCCCAAATTCTGGTCCTCACAGTTAAAGCTTGAGCACACACACCTTGCCTCAAACCCGGTTTCATTTCTAAGTCTAGGATTCTGACCAAAAAAGTAGAAAACTTCAGAGCTAACGTACCCAGTAGCCTGTTGTTCAGAACGTGTTTCTATTTCCATGAGCAGAAGTAGCAGGACCCAACCTGGCATTGCCAATGAAGCAGAGGTGCCTTGGTTACACTTGATACCGGATACAACTTCTGCCTTACAGCTGACCCTGATGGTCTTCTCAGCCAGGAGCCCCCCCAACGGCTGGCACGTGGGCAGGAGACTGTGTTAGCATCCTGCATGAAGGACAGTAAAGGCATACCCGGTGCTTCCACCTGGCAGATCTTGCTGTCCCGGAGCTTTAATACTCCCCGGGACTATCTTTACCTATGAAATTCGATAGGAAGAATCTGTGCTTATTTTCATTTGGAGTCATTGAACTTCAATCGCATGGTACCCATGTCCCAGCCACCACCACCCCACTGTCACAGGTTACTTGTTCTCTGTGAGCTTGTAACAACTTGACTCTTCCTTAGGGTTGCATAGTCTGAGTCTCCTAAAGAATAGAACATACACTTTGAACAAGACCTGGAGTGATGGCATTGTAGCAGCTCACGAGCCCTACCTGGTGACCCTGCAGAGAGGAGCCCTCCTGCTATGGAACAGGAGGACGCCGGAGCCCTTCTCACTGTCAAAAGAACCATACGTATGGAAAATGATCATCCTGGCGGAGAATCAGCAGGTTTCAGGCGAGTCTTCCTCTGTGGGGTTCTTCTTTGAATCCACTTTGTCTGCCTCTTATCAGTATGTTTCCAGTGGGTAAAATCCTGGGTATCTTTGTATTGGCAGTTGTGCTGGCCCACAGTTCAGCCGGCCTTCTCCCTAACCTGACCTTAACACTGGAAGAGTAAGAATCATCTGACACGTTTCTGAAAGTTGCTAAATGACACACACAGACCCCAAGCAAAACTCCAAGTTTTTTTTTTTTTTAAGATTTTAAAAATTTATTTATACATGAGAGACACAGAAAGGCAGAGACACAGGCAGAGGGAGAAGCAGACTCCCCACGGGGAGCCCGATGTGGACTCCATTCCAGGACCCCAGGATCATGACCTGAGCCAAAGGCAGACACTGAACAACCCAGGCATCCCAAAACTCCAAGAAATTTGCATACCAGAACCCCTTTGGGAAATCCTCTTGTACATTAGCATATTAAACATCTTAATTGGGCAATAAGGAGATCCATTTGATTTGTCCTAAACCACTTTCCCAAACATTTTACTGAGGGCCCCCTTCCCCTGTAGCAGCAACATCTCATGGAGGATCCTTTGCGAAGCTGCTCTTCTGGGGCCGTGGATACCAGGATACTTTCTTCCTGCTGTTAAAGTTATACCTGTAGTTGTTTTTGTTTTTACATTTTTTGAATTTAAATTCAGTTTGCCAACATGTAGTATAACACCCAGTGCTCATCCCATCCAGTGTCCTCCTCATTGCCCACCCCCCAGTTACCCTGTCCCCCCACCCACTCTCCTCCCTTCCTATAACCCTTTGTTTGTTTCCCAGAGTTAGGAGAGTCTCATGGTTTGTCTTGCTCTCTAATTTTTTCCACTCAGTTGCACCTGTAGTTTTTTAAGGCTGCTTTGTTTCTTTTCACATAAGCCTTTGGCCAGGACGAGAGCCAAAAAAAAAAAAAAAAAAAAAAAAAAAAAAAAATCTGATCCTGGCTCTTGTGGCGGAAAAAGAAGAAATCCTATCTCACAGGATTCCGGGGTGGGGGTGGGGGGGTGAGGGACTTTGTCAGCAAAAGCAGCCAGAAGTCCAAAGGAAGAGTAGAGGCAGAGAGGGAACAGACTCCTCTCTCCTACGGGCCCACTCTAGAATCCTCCCTCGCCCTCTTCTTTCTGAGCCACCTTACCTTTTGATTCATTGGTGCCTGGTTTCACCTGATCTTCAGGGCTAAGAAACATTAACCTATTTCTTTGGGGGTAAAGGTGTGCTAAGAAAAGGTCACCTTTTTAGTTAAAAATCCAACTTGGCATCGACAGATGAATGGATAAAGAAGCTGTGGTCTATGTATACAATAGTAATATTACTCAGCCAATAGAAACGACAAATACCCACCATTTGCTTTGACGTAGATGGAACTGGAGGGTATTATGCTGAGTGAAGTAAGTCAATCGGAGAAGGACAAACATTATATGGTCTCATTCATTTGGGGAATATAAAAAATAGTGAAAGGGAATAAAGGGGAAAGGAGAGAAAAGGAGTGAAAATATCAGTGAGGGAGACAGAACATGAGAGACATCTAACTCTAGGAAACAAACAAGGGGCAGTGGAAGGGGACGTGGGCGGGGGGTTGGGGTGACTGGGTGACGGGCACTGAAGGGGGCACTTGGCGGGATGAGAATTGAGTGTTATGCTATATTTTGGCAAATTGAACTCTAATAAAAACAAATAAATAAATAAATAAATAAACAAACAAACAAATAAATAAATAAATAATCCAACTTGGATAATTCCACTACCTGATCTGTGAGGTCACCGTGCCAGTTGCTGCAGGGTACTAGCTGGTAACTTTTAGTATCTGAGACCTCACAACAGGTGGGTGTCCGCATCATGTGCAGAAACTTTACTTTTCATTCCTAGCAGACAGCATCAGGCAGTGAGAAAAGTCATCAGGCCTGGGAGGAGAAAACAATTTGCCCAGTTTGAAGCCAAGAGATGATGGGCCCATGTGCCACATCTCGTCTCAGGATCTAGGCTTTGAGGCCACTTCACTTTTTCCTTCCCACGAGGTAGACCAATGCAGCTGCCTAGCCCTGACATGGTCTCTGGAGAAGGGGGGTGGTAGAAGCACCCCTCTGGCACCGAGACCCAAGGGCCTGCCTTGCTGAAGCTACTGTTCATTGTAGATCCCAAGTCTGAAGAGGCAGCCGCAGACGGCACCCCCACTCTTCCTCTAACACGCCGTCTGCTTTGCACCCCATCCTCTGTCCCCTGTCGGAGCAGGGAGCGATGCGTGCCTCAGGAGTACCTCTGCGATGGCAAGCGAGACTGTCGGGACGGCTCGGATGAAGGGAACTGTTCCCAGTTCTGCGCCAGGCCAGGTCTGTCACCGTCACCTGTTCAGTCCTCTATGCCAGGTATATGGATTCAGCTTTGGGCACGTGGTGTGAAGTACCCGTGTTTATTACGATCCCTAGCTTTCCCTAGATAAATCGTCGTACGTAAAGCTGCTCTGTCAGAATACAGATCTATTTTATCACACTTAAGTCAAATGTTTTACCAGGTGCAATTGTTAACTATTGCTTCCTTGCCCCCTCAAATTTGCTTAAGTGTTATGAGCCCCTATCACTTAAACAACCCCGTTCAGCCTGCTAACTTAGTTGGCCTGAGCGCCTTACTAAAGCTTGCTGATGGGTTAGATAAGCTAAAGAACTTGAACAAATAGGATGCAATCTACTTACCCCTTAAACTCCAGGATGAGGGTGAGTGAATCGAATTTTAAACCTTCAGGATGATGGAGAATATGGCGAGAGCCTTTGGCCCTCTCTGTTTTAGGGGTCTTCCAGTGTCTGAATGGAAACCAGTGCATTGAGGAGAAATACCACTGCGATGGGGCTCAGCAGTGCTCGGATGGGTCTGATGAGCTGGGCTGCTGGAAGCCTAGTGACGATTGTTCTTTACGTTGTGACAACAAGACCCGCTGTATCCCCAGGATCTGGCTATGTGATGGCAACGCAGACTGTTTGGACAAGAAAGATGAACAAGGATGCAGTAAGTGCCATGCAACTTATTTGTGGTAGGTTGTGTTCTACGAAGTTGCCACCAATGCTGAATTAACATTTTCCACATCATTGCTCATAGAAAAAAAAAGATACAGGGTGAGGTTTCTGAGAATCTCCATGGTAATATATTTGTCAGCTAATCAACACATAACCTTGTTTTAGGTGTATGGCTGATTAAAGACCACTTGATATACGTAAGTTGGCTCATTAACACTGAAGACACGGCCAACGGCATCATAACTCACGCCCGAACAAAGCTTATGTAACACCTGTATCTGCTCCATAAGGCAGCTCGTAGACTTCTTGTACTAGGAACACCAGACAGCATTTCTCCACTACACTTGGGGGCCCATTTGAACAGCAGAATCAGAATCCCCCAAAAGTACAAAAATGTGGGAAGTAGAGCTCTAAATAGATTGCAGAATGGACACTTGTTTACAGTGTGAGGACTGAAATGAGAAGGCAGTGTCACCTTGTTCCATCTCAATTGGAAGCGTGTGCTAGGCAACGCATATGTTTTGCTGCTTTGTGTATGCGTGTCTTCAAATGACCATGAAAGTGTGGGAGCTTGGGATTGTTGGGGAGGTGTGGGTTACGAATTTTGGCAAGTAGGTGAATGTGCAAATAATGAATCTGCAAATAATGCAGATGGACTGTACTTGGCATGAAGTTAACAGACTAGGAGGGAAGGGTCTGAGTTGAAGGGATGCTGGAGATCATGGGGTAGCACTTCCCTCTCTGTGACAAGATTCCCATTAGTGGAAAACCAGTCTCTTCACAAAATGTTTCTTGAGCTCGAATCTACCACGTTGAAGATTTTAATTTTGATCCTAGGTCTTCTCATGTGGGGAGCCATCCTCATCTGTGAGTGTCATTGCTTTGCCCTCTTTCCTATGGGATACTCAGTCTTTCTGTGGTCTTCCCAATGACCTGTTTCAAGGACCTTTGGGGATCCCTGGGTGGCGCAGCGGTTTGGCGCCTGCCTTTGGCCCAGAGCGCAATCCTGGAGACCCGGGATCGAATCCCACGTCGGGCTCCCAGTGCATGGAGCCTGCTTCTCTCTCTGCCTGTGTCTCTGCCTCTCTCTCTCTCTCTCTGTGTGTGTGTGTGTGTGACTATCATAAATAAAAAAAAAAAAGGACCTTTGTCACACTGTGGGAACAGGGTAGAGGAGAGCATTTGAAGAATTGAAGTGGGAAAAAGAAGAGTCTGGGTGAGGTCCCATGATATATTTGAATGCGGAGGGGACTGGGGAGCCAGATGACATCATTGCAGTCAGGCTTATGAAAATATCAGGAGGAGAGGCAGGGAGGGAGGAACCCAAGGTATAATTTACTTTTCAGTAAGTATTTATGCTAAGATCTGAGCCTTTTCTCTTGAGCCAAATCAAGCAACTTCTATCTGTAGGAACTGAGCCCAAGAACATAACACATAGGACATGTTAGATATCATGAGAGACTTTCTCTTTTCATGGATGACATTAAGGTCCTGGAGAAGAGTCCTGCTCCCTAGCCTATCCAGTGTCCTTCCATGTGTCTCCCGTGCCTGTCCCCCAGCCCTCATTCTCCAAGACAGGATTTTTCTGGGCTAGTTTAGTAGGCCTTTTCTGGCCTAACACTACTGAAACCACCTTTGAGGGCTGGGGTTTCATTTCCCAGGGGACAGCAGAAGACCAGGGAGTCTTCAGACCCCTTTAGGTGCCTTCAGATCACTTCCACATCTAGCTGAGTTCTTACTTAAAGCTTTATTTTCCAATTTTCCAGTTCATGCAAAATGCAGTGCACCTGAATTCCGATGCAAGAGTGGCCAGTGTGTATCTAACTCTCAGCGCTGCGATGGGAACCGAGACTGCCTAGACCACTCGGACGAAGAAGGCTGTCCTGTTGCCTGGCCTGTGCAGTGCCCGTCGGGGGAGGTGAAGTGCCAGAGGAGTGGAGAGTGTGTGCCAGCGGCATGGCTCTGTGACCGTGACTTAGACTGCAAAGATGGGACTGACGAGAAGGTAGTGCACCCTTCTTCAGAAAACAGATTTCTCCTCACAACTGGAATGTGTGCTTCCTGGTAGAAAATGTGAGAAACACAAGAGCAGAGAAGGCTCTCATCACTACTGCCCAGAAAGCCACCCTTAACTATATTAAAGTGTCCAAAGTGAGATGATCTCTTGCTGAAAGACAAACGTTTAAGAGGTTTTTATTGTAGGTTTGCACGTATTAGGTTTGCACATATTAGGTCTTAATGGCTGTGGCTTATTTTTAAATTTTCTTATGTATTTATTTGAGAGCGAGCGAGCACACAAGCTGGGGGAGGGGCAGAGGCAGAGGGAGAAACAGACTCCCCACTGAGCAGGGATCCCGATGTGCGGCTCTATGACCTGAGCCAAAGGCAGATGTTTAACTGACTGAGCCACCCAGGCACCCCATATCTGTGGCTTGAATGTCCCACCCAGAGCTCTGCTCACCTGTCACCACGAAGCGCACAGACACTGCCACATTGTAGGAGATGCAGCCTGGCTTGAATCCTTCTTGCATTTGACTTTGCAGAAGTACTTGCTCCCTCATGTTCCACTTCCTCATCTGTCAAATGGGTAGAAGATGGGCCTCGTGGTGCCTGAGGGGTCAGGAATGCATCTAAAGGTTCAGGACTATGGCAGGGGCACAGATGTCCCCTCCCCTCCTCTAGTAGGTCCTGCCCCAGAGCCCGAGTGTCCAAGTCAGGTGAGGTGCAAAGTTTGCTATCACGTTTAGTATGCTGGGGTAGTTTTGAAATGGCAAAAGAATTCTTAAGAAAAGTTTCTAGAGCACATTCTTACATCTATGTTTCTTAAGTAAAGACTTCCCATTTGGCAAAATAAGATCTTTTCTTTCCACTTCACTTCCAGATTCGATTTACCTAGAACTCCTCACCTACACTCTGGCTACTGCAAACATTTTTCTGAGTTTTGGGGCTTTGTCTGCCCTCGCTGCCGAAGGAACTCAAGCGTTGTCGTGTAAGCCAGGCTCGTTCTCCCTCCGAGAACTCCTTCCTGGGCTCCTAGTGCAGGTGTCACTGACCGCATCACTGTCTCCTCAGGACTGTGGCCCCGAGGAGCTTCGCTGTGGCTCCAGGCAGTGGCCCTGTGCCGGTGGAGACCGGTGTGTGCCTGATGTGTGGCGCTGTGATGGCCAGAAAGACTGTGGGGACGGCAGTGACGAGGCTGGGTGTGAGTGCGGGGCCTCCACCGCAGGGGGTGGGGGGCTTCAGGGGGCCTCCGCGGCTTGCTTCCTCTGGGCATGAGGAGCCGGCTTGGGTGCAGGCCTGCAGGCCCTGACACCTCCCTTAGCAGGATGGAGGTGTCTTGATTGTCCATCCTTGCTGCGGGGGAGGGATGCCGGGGCTGGGTGGGGGAGCAGACTATAAAAGTAGAAAGTCATCCTCTCTAGGTCCCCCCAAGAAGTGCCAGAGTTCTGAGTTCCAGTGCCGCTCCCATGGCTGCCTTGACCTCCGCCTGGTATGCGACGGGAAGGAGGACTGTGCCGACGGCTCGGATGAAGGTGGAAAGTGCTCGTCATTGTCGTCAGCATGCAGCCAAGCGCCGTGTTCCCACACCTGCTACCTGTCCCCACGTGGGCCCGTGAGTTCGTTCAGCTACTCTTCTCCAGCAGCTATGCACTTGGTATAGCGAGAGGGTCTCTGTCCCCAGGCAGGCTGTCCCCACAGTCTTACCTGGCTGAGCCGTCCTGACCCACCCTCTGATGTCACCTGGGCCCTTCCTGGCTCCCCCTGAGTCCTGTCAGGTTCCTTCCTTGTGTCGTGTCTCCTGGAACTTTACCACCGAGACTCCAAAAACTCTGCTACCCTGAGCTCGGGGGGTCACTTGGGACTAAGCCAGACATTTTGATGAACGTCTCTTCCATGTATGTATCTGGAATGTGACCTGCCCTTAAACTCAGGACTGCCCGAGTTCTGGCCTAGCATTATTGGTTGGCTCAACATCATGAACTTGACTCTGGTGGGCACGTAGAAGAAAATGGTGTTCTGACGTCCGATCACAATAACCTCTCTATGGGCGGTTAAGTCTCTATGGGAGGTTAACCTCTCTAGTTGGTTCAGTTAAGTCTCCATGCCTCTTCTTGATTCTGCGGGGATTCTAGGTGTCCTGGGCTGAACGCAGACCCCTCTGTTAACACAGGGGACCCGTTGCACCCCTTTGTTGGCGGTGACAAGGGTGTAAGGTGCATCAGCGTTAAAAAGACCAAGAGAGTGACTGTATTTAAAATGAAATTGGTTCTAAGAATCTTTTTTGTTTTGAGCTGCTAAAATCGAGTGCACCACTGTGTGCTTTTAATAGCAAGGCGAGGCCTTTTCATCAAGGTTAGGCATCAGTGTCTTCAGGAAGTCTTAATGCTTTTGAAACCCATTCAGGTCTGTGCTTGTGAGCGAGGCTTTGAGCTGGAGAGCAGTGGCCAAGTGTGCCAGGATGTGGATGAGTGCCAGAAGTCGGGAGGACAACCTTGCAGTCAGACCTGTGTCAATACCCAGGGCTCCTACAGCTGCACCTGTCAACCTGGCTATTCACTGGAGCCTGATGGTCACACCTGTAAAGCAACAGGTAGGCTGGTGCCAGGATGTCTTTCTCCTAAACCCTGGGTCAGGAACTTTGAGGTCCTAAATTTCCCAGGAATACAAATGTAAACCTTCTTTCTCAAGTCTTAAATGCTCCTGCCTGCTTTTAGTCTGCTGTCTGCATCTGCGGAGCAAGCCTAGCACATTCTCCAAATCCCCTTTTTATGTGCAGCAGTTCGGATTGAATTTAAATCTGAAGGATTATGCAGATAAGCCATCATTACAACAGAAGCATAACTCTGGTCCTTACCTAAATTGGGATAAGTGTCAATAGTCTTGACAAGCACTTCTCTCCTGCCTACTTATGCCAAATACTTAGAATTCTTTTCAATTTATGCTAATCATGTGTTTATTCTAAACATCTTTAAACTATGGGTATTAGCTCAAGCATCACATGGAGGAGAGAACTACTCAGATACCAGCCAGCTGGTGTCCCAGCCCTGGCAGTGAGAATGCAGAGACACCTTTGTTCTCTAAATCCTTAGCCGGAGTGAAGTTCAGCAGCCTTCACATTTCGTAAGGCCATGCTGAAAGAAGTTATTATTTGCCAGGTATTGAACCAATCCTGCTCGTGGCAGTTCAGTCCAACCTACTCCTCTATGGCTTGAGGAGCTTGAAGGAGGATGTTCTGGCAACTGTAGACAAGAATGTGATGATTTTCTCTATTGACTACGACTTAGTGGGACAGAAAGTCTTCTGGACGGATCTTAGTGCAGAAAGTATTAAATGGATAAGTATGGACACAAGGAGGACAGGGACCGTGGTAAAAGGTATGTTCCCTTGTGCAGGCTTCATCCTGCCCTTATGAATTACACATAGCATGAAAAATGGCCATTAACATCCTAAACATTGATTTAATTAAATCTTCCCTTTTTTAAATTAATTTTTGTTTTAACTGGCCTTCCACTAATAGAGAAATGTGAATTTCTTTTCTTTCTTTCTTTTTTAAATATGTATTTATTCATGAAAGACACAGAAAGAGGCAGAGACATAGGCAGAGGGGGAAACAGACTCCTTGCAGGGAGCCTGATGCAGGACTCGATCCCAGGACCCCAGGATCACGACCTGAACCAAAGGCAAACTCTCAACCACTGAGCCATCCAGGCATCCCTCATTAAATCTTTTTAACTAAAAGGGACAAAGGCCTGCTAGTTGGCTAGAAATGGAAAACTGCATTGACACCTCAGTAGACCACGTGAGTTGGCCAAACTGTCAGCCACTGTCCATTATTTCTAATGGCCATCTTCCTCTACAAATAGAACCTTGGAGAAATATAAAGTCTGCTCTGATGGAGATGCATCTACCAGTTGTAAAATGAACTAACATGGAATTCAAGTCTGATGCCTATGAGCTAAAACCTAGTAAAAGCCATCATTTAACCTAGACTCCCATGTTGAATGGTTTCCTCTCTCTCTTCAGGGATAAAGTCAGACTGTATAGTGGTCGACTGGATTGGGAGGAATCTCTACTGGGTGGATGGGACGGCTGGCCAGATTTTGGCAATTCAGCTGACTGCCGTTTGGAGAGGGAAATCTGAACATACAATTGTCCTGGATAAGGACTTGACTCAACCACAGTCTTTGGCTTTAGATCCCCTAAATGGGTGAGTCCAGTGGTCAGAATGCCAGCCAAGCCCTTTAAGTTTGTTATTGCTCTTTAGTTTTGTGTTCATTCAACAGAGAATGAGTAAAAAGCTTAACCTGATTTGACTTTAGATCTTATGGTGATGTGGGTCAGCCATATGTATAGTAATCTTAAAAGCTTCTGATAAGCCAGATGGAGGGCTCGATCTCAGGACCTGGGGATCATGACCTGAGCTGAAATCAAGATGCTTAACTGACTAAGCTACCCAGGGACCCCGATAGTGCTTAATTTACACTAATGTGCTTGGTAGTAGCGGAGGAAATAATTGTGTTGGTGTTGAATCTAGGTTCTTCCATCCAAAGTCATTTCTCTGAAAAGGCCAGGAACTTAGAGACAATGATGCCTAGCCGTCAGAGGCAAGCCCTCATTGGGATGGCCATTTTTGTATCAAATGTAAGAACAAGATAGGGTAAAACTTAGGACCCAGAGGTCACCCAGATTGGGTACCCTCTATTCTACTTTTCTTACCTTTTCAATATCTCTATCCAGGAATCTGTGACATGGTCCTCAGGAAATTAGCAATAGTTCTGAGGCATCTAATGGCTTTGACTGTGACCAAGATTAAGATCAAGTCACACATCTTCCCATAGAACTAGCCTGCTTTCTAGCCCAGGAGAGACTGGCAGGTTCTCTGGTTATTTTCCAGGTCCAGGAACTAATGTATTCCTTGGCTGCTTGTATAACTGTCGTGATATTTTATCCCCAAGTGATGGCTAAACAAGCACCATAAAATTTCAAGGGTAACTTTCCTTTACTTCACAATTTCACTTAAGGAATAGACCAAGCATGAGGGGAAAAAATAATGGGTCTAGATTAGTGTTTTAAGGAATGAATGGATATTTTCTGCAAAGTAATAACTTCAAAGCTGAGTTTTATCCACACAGGCTAATGTACTGGTCTGAAATCGGAGGAGAACCTCAAATAGCACAAGCTGGGATGGATGGTAGTGGCAGAAAAATACTCATCAGTCAAAGTCTTGGCCAGCCAACCAGCGTAACTCTTGACCAGTTGAGTCAGAAGATATTCTGGTCTGATTACAAATTTCACTGTATTGGCTCTGCTAATCTAGATGGTACTGGTATCCATGTAAGTATTCTTTAGTCTTAGGCTGTATGCAATGTCTTCTGCCTTGTATAAAGTTCATTCCAGAAACCTCATCATCCCCATTTTAGATATTGCAGCTAACACAGATCAAGAACCCCTTTTCGGTCACTGTGTTTGAAGATGAAGTCTTCTGGTCCGATATGAAGATGAGAGCAGTACAGCGCATGAAGAAGACGACAGGCAAGAACAGGGCTGTCCTCATCAAGCGTTCCCAACAGCCTTATGGACTCAAGGTCTATGGTGTACTCTTCAAAATATCCCCCTAATTCTCCCAAAAAGGCTACGTGTACAAGCTTCCCAAGTACAAACTCTAGTGACATCTTTCTATTGTGATTAAAAAGCAAGACGTATTCATTTGCTATTCATAAGGATTCAATAGTGCATAGTAACATCCAGCACCTCTCTTCCAGATAATGCACGAAGTGCTCCAGCCCAAGTCTCCTAATCCTTGTCTGGACACTGGCTGTTCTCACTTGTGCCTTCTGAGCCCACGATCCAAGGGAAGCTGTCACTGCCCAGTGGGACTCCTGCTTGCAGATGATGGCATCACCTGTGTTCCGCTCGAGGAGTCTGCGTTTCTGTTCCTCGCATTGCCCACAGGTGTCATGCAGGTACTGCTCCACAGCCTTACCCACATGTCTGTGCCTGGGCTGTGTCTATTTCAGACTGAGTAATTCCAACCCTCCAGGCACAGCCATACATAGTAGGGGCCCTGGCCTTTGGAATAATCTTTTTTTAAAAAAATTATGTTTTAAGTAATCTCTACATCCAACATGGGGCTCAAACTCATGACCCCAAGATCAAGAGTTGCATGCTCTACTGACCAAGCCAGCCAGATGTCTCCTGCCCCTTTCCCTTCCCCTCCCACTTTAGAATAGCCTTCAAATATAACTTAAATTTTAGTATTCATGTGTGCTGGGAGCTAGCATGACCAAAATAAAGTGACTATGAATTGAAAACCACTCCTTGAGAACTGGTATGTCAGAGCACAGGTTAGGGGTCTGAGAGTATGGCTCACCTGGGGTAGTTGTCCAAGCATCTCCCTGATGATATAGAGTAATTCTGAATACAAGCAACTCGGCAGGGTTCTAACCTGGGCAGCAGGTGTACATTTTATGAGGGAATTTTTCTTAAGTCATAGAAGATACTAACAAACAAGTCACTTCTAACTTCTACCATATAAGGAATTTGTCACCTTGGGCACTTTAAAATGACAAATGTTGGGGTGGAGGATTGGCTTCAGGTTCAGTAAGATGTTCATAGTAGAGTCTCATTGAAAGGGGAGGGCGTTTCATGAATAAATGTATCAAATCAACACATGTATGCCTGAAACTTACACAAATGTTATATGTCAATTATAGCTCAGACATTTACAAAATAAAGGGGGGAGGCGTTTAACAAAGGAGTCCATCTTGAAGACATGTGGCTCCAAGGACATTTAAGTAATTAAAGCTCCAGAAAGGGAGAGAAATAACTGCTATTTTTAGATGATAAATTCAGATTTTCATATATTCTAAGTATTTTAACGTTAATGCAAAATCAAGTTGTGGGATGACACTAGATTCAGCTGGTGCCATCCACCTAATTTTTTTCCCATAGATTTATCTGAAAAATCTAGAAACTTTACTAGGACAACCAACTTTACCAGAACATAGGATACTTCCTTTTACCAATGTGAACCAGCTTGCATCCCTGGACTACATAGTCCAGGAAAAGGCTCTCTACCTTTCAGAGTTGGGTACTGGTGATATCAGGCTCCTGAGGCTCAAAGAATCTGGAAGTCTCTCTTGGAGGAAAATCTTATCTGTGGAGGGAACAGTGATTGACCTCGCGGTGGACTGGTTGAGTGGAAACATATATTGGATTGACAGTGAGAATCCTCACATCAATGTTGCTTCCTCGAAAGGCCAATATCCCACTGTCCTGTTCAGTGAAAATCTCTACCACCCCACCTCAGTTGTGCTCCATCCACCCTCTGCAGTCATGTGCTTTGTGGACCTGGGTTCCCAGGATGATAGTAGGCGTGGGTCCAGCATTGAATGTGCCTCCATGGACGGCAGCAGAAGGAAGGTGCTGTGGCAGAGATCCCAGGTCCCTGAGGGCCTGACTTTTTCAGATTCGGGAACCCGAGTTTACTGGGCTGATACTGGTAAGCAATTATAACCTATACCATAAACGTGAGTCTGAAGGACTTTGGCCCCCAGTGAAATACAGATGTTCTGCTTTCTGGTCTTTAGCCGTGACTTCAAATAGCTTTTAGTTCTGAGTTTACATATTCTGCACCACCTGCCAAACAAACACAATGATTCACCATTCTGAGTAGAATGGAATAGCCCACAGAGTCATCTGTTGTCCTTTGTGAAGGAATAAAATCAAGAACTTAACAAATGGGCATGAGCAAATCTTGGTGTATCACTGTTAGAGTGAATGAAGAACAGTCCTTCAGAAAATGTGTGCTACACAATGTCCTACTGGAGGGGGTTGGCAGACAATACACAAAGAGCAATACATCTACAGGATGGAGTAGAGCTGTTTAGGCCAAGTGAAATTAACTGAGCCTCTCTTTCTAGGGAGAGGACTCATAGAGAGCATTCAACAAGATGGCTCTAGATACAGAGTAGACCGCAGAGGAATTGAGGGCCTTAACCTCTTTACATTTGGCCAAGGCATGATGTTCTGGACGACAATGGATGATGATGGTAGGTCTTATTCAACATGATTGTCTTTGTGATCTGAATTTACTTGTGTGTCTCTAAAGTGAATCTACTAATGCCTACCACTGATCTTTGGCAGAGTCTTTCTTCTGGAAGAATAATTAAACAACTTCCCTAATCTAGCATGTATGTGTAACAGGAAATCTATGACTTGGGGAAGATTTTACTTATTTGGTTATTCTTTATATATAAATATGCTTAGTCCTGTTCTGCCTGAGATTTCTGGCTTTCATCTGAGGCTCTTTGCTTTAGAGGACAGTGTGATATAGTCCAGAGAGAATTGGGCCAGGAATTGGAACCAAGTAGTATAATTGCTCTGTCGGTTAGTAGCTATAACACCTTACCTATAAAATGAGGGCAGTACCTGTCTCACTTGGCTCCATACACATGAAAGTACCAGGTGAATTACACAATATTCTGTACTTACAGGGTATTTCTAGTTTTAAAGAGATTTTCCTAAGCTACAGTATTCCAGTATGCTGTTTCTGGCTAGAGTCTAGAATTGGTAAAACTGGAAAATGCTATTTAAAATCTGTCTCTTTAATATTTTCAAATGTTGGTCCATTGACCAGTTGGGCTGGCCACATCACAATTGCAAAAACAGGTTGTCAGATCCTACCAACAGAGATGCTAATTTATTTGGTATGTGGTAAGACCTTTGCTATCTGTTTTAAGATCCCCGGTAACACTTACTGCAAAAAGCCATTTTCAGATATATTATAGAACAATGTTTAAAATAACTACCCATCATTTGCATGGACTATATCTAAGTGTCTCATATCCTAATTATCTATCCTTGTATATCTGGACATATATGAATGTGCTCAACATAATTTATGCCTGACTTTATTTTGGAGGAAGGCATAGAACTACTTTTATTTGTCTTGAAATTTCTTCTCAGAAAAAAAAAAAAAGACTTAAAAAAAAGCATGTCCTTTCTATAAAGCTCCTGATATTCAACTGGAATTTATGCAGATGGGTGACAGTTTTCATACTGAGCAATTTTCTTTGCACAGGAAGTTATCTTAAAATTTGCTTTTCTTAAAAATTTAAATTTTGCTTGTCTTAATGATCATTTACTGGTTTTTGTTTCAGCCCAAACCATTAAGGTTTGGTATAGCAGGACAGAACTTTCAGAAAACCAGTGGTTCCAAATAGACCAGAAGATTGTGGACTTAAAAGTTTATAGTAGACTTAGTCAACAGGGTAAGCTACTTTTCAATGAATATGACAACACTGAAGCCTGCTGAATTTCCCCATGAAAGGGATTCCCTATCCTGCAATATCCCCTTGAAATTGGTTTGTTTTTCCTGGTAAAATATTTCTCTGGCAAATTCTTACAGATCTACATAACTCTCTTGTCTTTATGCAATTATATATATCATAGTTCTGGTATATAACTAGTCCTATAACTTTTCTAGGAGACAAAAGAGTGGTAAATATATTGTATGGGGTTTTGGTATACTTGGACCCTATTTTAATTTCTTTTGTAGACACAATTACAACTGTGGTATAATCGAAATCATCTTTTAGCTCTGCAGTGGAACTAGCCTTTATTCTACTTATCATCACTTACATCTACTTGTGTTGTTAACTAATCCTTGAAATACCAACTTGGGAGTGCCCGTGTGTTTTGCTCCAGTGTTTGAGTAGAGTGATGATGGATTTGGTTAAAGTAGAAAGAGAGAAAGTCTTTTCCTAGTTGACATAAACACCAACAATGTGAGTTCAAATAATTAAGCATATCTACCACTGCCATGCATGTTGAGCATCTTGGTCTTAGCCCTATTTATATTGAATATATCGATCTTATGTGAATGCTACTCCATTGCTTTATTTTGGAAAGCTGAACTTTATAAGCAAGTGTTAGTTGTGCTTAAACTTCTGAAGTCTTGGCTTTGTGGAGAGAATCTTTTTATTTTATTTTATTTTATTTTATTTTATTTTATTTTATTTTATTTTATTTTATTTTATTTTATTTATTTTTAAGATTTTATTTTTTCATGAAAGACATACACACCAGAGAGAGAGAGAGAGAGAGAGAGAGAGAGAGAGAGAGAGGCAGAGACATAGGCAGAGGAAGAAGCAGGCTCCAAGCAGGAAGCCTGATGTGAGACTCAATCCTAGGATTCTGGGATTATGCCCTGAGCCAAAAGCAGATGCTCGACCGCTGAGCCACCCAGGCATCCCATGAGAGAACCTTTTTAGAATTCTTCAGTGTGACTAGTGATCACCCATGTGATGATAATCTGTGGCTTGGTTCTGAGAAGTAGAAGGAGGGTCTCCTGAGAAGGTTTATCTATGGTATATAGATAGCTATTCCACAATTGCTGGAATATCTCAAAATAAAACCTTACTAAAAGGTAAAGCTTGAGATCGAAGCCTTACAGAACCATGGTTAGCTATCAGTGGCTGACCTCCTACTCAGTCCATAGGGATAATAGATACCACAGCCTTCATATTTTCATCAAAAGAGAGCTTTATTTCTGAGGCCCTTCTAGTTTTGATGTTGGGTGCTTGGCTTACACCACGGGGAAAGGAGAACTCCCAATGGAGTCTTGGATGAGCCAGAGTTCAGCTCAATTTTTATGAAACTGGTCCCTTGTCTGAATGCCTAGCCTTCCAAAGCCATCCTTACCCATGAAGAAAAGTCACTAATCACTTGGTGCCTGGTTGACTAAAGGGAGTTAAACTGAAAAGCCATCCACACTGGGAAAAAAAAAAATCTAGGTCCCGTAACTCTGATAGTCTGTTTGTAGAATGTCTGCAGAAGATCCTTCTGAAACCATCTAAATCAATGTGTGTGGTTTTTGTTTTTGTTTTTGGTGGGGGGAATCCACAGGTAGTAACAGTTGCTCGAAAGACAATGGTGGCTGCAGCCATATGTGTTTACCAAACCCTGAAGGACTGACTTGTAAATGCCCCAGTGGGTACTCCTTGGCTAACGTAAGCAAATGTGTTGAAGCTGTCCTGTGCTCTGAGCTGTCCCAGTCCTGTAAGGATGGTCAGAAATGCATTTCCATGGAGCAAGTTTGTGATGGTCATGCTGACTGTCCGGATGGATCTGATGAGATGAGCTGTGAGTAACTCCTATCCAAGACCCTACTGTTCATCACTGTACATGACATACTTCGAATATTTAATAAAATAGTTCTTAATTAATATCTCAATCTGATTCTTAATATCTAATTCTATAGTATTCCTCATGCTTTTATCCTCCAAATCATTGCTTTGTTATTGCTGGCACTTTTAAACTGAACAGTATAAAACTTCTAACTATGGGCAATTGGGTATAGATTATGTGCACATCTTCTGGAAAGCTAACGTGTCCTCTGATTCAGTTTTAGAATAGGCCATACGATAGCTCCAAAGGGCTCCAAAGAGTTTGTATGTTTTCTGGAAGAGCACTCATTTAACCTAGATTTGATTCTGTCTCTTTAAACTGACCACACAGTGAGCAGAGCCAGGAGGAAGAGGTTGGGTAAATGATTTAACCTGTGTTGGTTTGGTTCCCCTTTTTAAATGTGGAAATAGTACTTTCTCCCTCAAAGAGTTGAGGAATCCAAGAGCGTGTGAATAAAGCTGCCATGTTAGTGTATACCACTGTCAGGTTACTTCTTAAATGCTAGCTGGGAGCTAGTGGTTACAGAGATGCTGCTGCCAATCCTGCCTTCATGGAAAGCTGTTTTCATGGTGAGTCAGCTGAGCAATGGGGATATCAGTCACCATCTTCACATCCTACAGCTTTGGCTCTAGTGGTATCCAAGTCGTGGAAGCTGTAGAGCTGAAGAAATGGTGAGCTCAGCACTGAAGCTTGTAACTATTAAGAAAACAAAGTGGGAAAGGCATCTTAACAGTGAAGAGTTCTTATCAATTTCTGAATTTAAATCCTTATCATCCTCAAAGCTGATGAGTTGGAATGCCACTTGTTACCCCAAATGACATAATCTTAAATAGGAAAGTTAATAGATTTTGATTCCCCATGGTTGATTCTATGTTCTCATGGATGAGGATGTTTTCTCAAAAACCTCATGTTACAGTGACTGTAGGAGGCAGGTCAGTGAGCAAGAAATGTGTCACCTTCAGCATCTCGTGTTAGAATTAAACCAGAAGCCTAACCGATCGTCACTGGTTCTCCCATCCTGATGACCAAGAGTTGGCTCTACTTCTCAATAAGTATTTCTCCCTGGCTTGTACGTGAAACTTTTTTGGAGGGGGTGGTACTGGGTATGAAAAGCTAGTCTGGCTTCCTCTGGAAATACCCACTTGTCAGGGACCTTAAACTGCCCAGGAGTGGAAACACTCCTGTAACACCAACCTGAGGCAGAGGCAGAGGCAGTAGGTGGTTTTATTGCTAACATGGCTACCTTTCCTCCCCTCAGTCATGGTAGTTTGGTCTTTAGTATTTATATACAGAATGATGCTTGTGCCAACAATGATGGAGGGTAGGGTGAAATGTCTTACAGGCAAACTGAACTTACAGGTTGTTGGTTAGAAGCACCCTCCTACCCACTACTGCTACCAAATCTGGTCTAAGATTTACAGCTTGTAGATCTTGCTAAACCATCACTTTACTTGGACACACACACACACACACACACACACACAAATTCGTATTTACAGATAAACTTACATCTTAAAAATCTTTCTGATTATTTACCACTTAGATCTACCATACTGTTGTTTATAGAATAAAATATTTTTGTAACTGAGGGAATGTGCCATGGCTAAACCTGGGCATACCATCATTTAAAAATAGATTATAGATTGGTATGATAGACTGGTCCTGAAACCAAACATTTTAAGTGCTTTAGAATACGCAGCTTTTTACATGTTTTTAATAGTTTTTTGGTCAGCCAAAAGGTAATGGTAATGATTTGATGATTTCATAAATTCAAACTCATCTAGAAGATGAGTCTTCTAGAATTCTTGTTCTTCTGAAATCATTTAACTGACAAATACGGGGATATACCCATATCTGTTTTTGTAGGTATCTATCCAGATAAAACCCATTCAACACCAACATCTAAAAATGCAGAGGCTGGAAAAAGGTTGACTCCAGAAGCCTCTCTACCTCTCCGAGCTACAAAGCCCACCAAGGCCAGATATCCGAGTCTAGAAGGGGTGAATTATCCTGTTGGGAAAACACTAATCCCTCCAATTTCTGCTAGAGAAAGCAAGATCTCCGAAACCAAGGAAAAAGGCGAGCTTGTTCAGCCCAAGGACCCACAGAAGGCAAAACATCTGCCCTGTAGCACGGATTTCTGTAATGGGAGGGGAATCTGTACCCTCCTACGAGGGCTGAGAAAGTGCCGCTGCCTGATGGGATACAGTGGAGAGTTCTGTGAAGAGCCAGCACGTGGACCTGCACCTGGCTACATCGCCCTCAGCTTAACCGTTGTCTTATCAGTTGTTCTAGTAGCTCTGGGAGCATTTGTCTATTTCAGAAGAGCACACAAATTAAAAAGGTGAGCAGCTCTTAATGTCCTCATGGTAGAGTCCATTCCAAAGAAGGCTTATAGGATTAGTGGGGTTGGAGTTATTCCTCTACCCTAGGAACTTGCCCTCCAGGGAAGGATCTAGGTGAATAAGCAGCCTGCTTACTTGTTGGATGACCTGGAGGGACAACAGAGGTCACCTCTTTGAGACCTGGGGGCACACGATATTGTAAGGGATAGGAGGCATTTGCGCAGGTGAGAGCTGCCTTGGCAGCAACCAGTGGCACAATCTCAGGGGTGAAGTGATGAGATTCTTTACCATTGAGGCCAAGTTCATGCCAAGAACTGCAGGAAAAACTCAGAGGCATGTTAGTTTGCCAGGGCTGCTACAACGAATACCACAGACTGGGTGTCTTAAATAACAGATTTCGTTTTCTTAGTTCTGGAGGCTGCAAGACTGAGATTAGTGTGTTTGTGGGATTGGTGTCTCTTTGAATTATAGATGCAGACTTACCTCCCTGTGTCTTCACTGGTCTTCCCTCTGTTCATGTCTATGTCCTCATCTCTTCTTATAAGGACAGCAGTCCTGTTGGATTGGGGCCCAGATTGACGAGCTCATTTGAACATAAATACCTCTTTAAAGACTGTCTTCAAAGATGGTTACACTCTGAGATACTGGGAATTAGGATTTCAACATACTGACTTGGAGGGGATATAACTCAGCCCATAGCAGGAGGTGAAATACACTCAGGGAAGATTTAAAGAAAGCACATTGTTTTGCCTAAGAGCAAGAGAATATAAAGAAACACACAAAAATAGCAAAATGTTGGCTTAGAGTAGGGATGATGACAAAATCGGCTTTAGTACAGGAAGTGACAGTAACTGAGGACACTGACTAGGTCACGCATGCTGGGGAGGGTCCGTCCACTCTGTGCTGGGGGAGGGCCAGTAGGCAGCCTATGTACCAAGAAATAGAGAAGGAAAGTTTTAAAAGTTAATCTCTATCAAGCCAGCACTCACAGACTGAAGAAAAGCCCGGGAGAAATGGTGTAGCTTGGCCCAAGCCAACGAGCACTGGTCAATAGGTTTACTAACGTTAAGATGGACTTCCTCAGCTCACCGGCATCCAATCACCACTAACTTGTCCTTGAATTCCGTTCTCCTTGACACCAATTAATAGTGTCCCCCAGTTGAAAAGATGTATTACTTCAGAGGTTAAGTGAATGCCTAGTAACAAATCATAATTGACTCCGGTGTCACCCATTCTAGGTCATTTGATTCATCCAAAAGACAGAACACAATTCCCATAGCAATGGCCTTTGATAGGAGATGAGTTGGCCCTTTCTAAGTATAGACCCATCCCAGCGTCAGCCTCAAGGAACAACTCTTTTGACTCTTGTTTCTTTGATTCTTAGAAATCGTGCAGCGGCATCGAGAAATTTGACCCCCCGTGAAGAAAATGGCCAAGAAGAGGAGAATCTAATGAATAGTGAGACTTTTGTCAATGAAGCCTATGATGAGCAGGTATGCCTGGGAAGGGTCTTTGAGGAGAACAGATTGTGAGATACAGCCAAAGAATGCCCCTTCTGAAAAGTCTGAGCTGGGTGACAGTAGGCAGTGTTAACTCACAGAGCTTTTTGTGTTGGGTGAATGATGCTATTATGTGTTTTAAACTAATGTTCAGTAACTTGTTTATCTTTAGTCTCCATTCAGTCTCTAGTTCCAACCAAAGTGAAATGTGCATGAAGTAGTGATCAAGACATTCAGATTTTGGTGAACTTCCACAAGGGGCTCAGTTCCATGGTAGGGTGGGATGTTATTAGAGTTAGTTGGAGTTACCCCTAAAATTATGCCCCCCCTGTGATCTCTCCTAATCTCCCCTTCACTCAACTACCTCTGTGTTTTGTTTTAACGTAGTGTGTATTCAGGGCTACCTGGCTCAGTCAGTAAAGCATATGATTCCTGATCTCAGGGCCTAATAACTTCAAGGCCCACACTGAACATAGAGCTTACATAAAAAAAAGAATAAACAAATAAATATTTTAAAACATATCTATATCTATATCAAGGGGCACCTGGCTGGCTCAGTCACTGGAGCATGTGACTCTTGATCTCAGGGTTGTGAGTTCGTGCCCCACGTTGGGTGTAGAGGTTACTTAAAAAATAAAATCTTAGAAAAAAAACAACTATGTTAGTGTATATTCTCTGATTTCGAGTCTCTTTTCCTACAGGAACTGTTAACTTCTTTACAAACCGACTAACCTTATGATAAAAAGAGAGCTGAAACATCTCAATAAAAATTGTTTATACGTTGCATTGTGTACTGTCTTAACATCTGTAACTTACTGTAACTGTAAGTGGTAACTGTAAATGGTAACTTATTAAAATAACTGCTTTTGAAATTGGCAGAGGTCATCTGGTTTTGGTAGTAGGTGTTGGAAGACTGAATATTTGCAGGTGGAGTCAGGTTTCAGGACAAGCTCCATGTGATTCAGGTTCTGGTTTAGCTACAGAAACTTTCTGATCCCAGCGTGCCTGGCCCAGTGCTAGTCTGAGGTTCTGGGCTTGAATCTTGGCTTTGTCACTTACTCTGAGGTGTATTTAATTGCTCTGAACGGGCTTCTGCTCTGAATGGGCTTCTCCATCTTACAAAAGAGAAAGATCGCTCTTAAATCTTTACCTTTTAGGTATAGGTCACATTTCTGCCATGTAACAAGTATTCCAGTATTTTTTTTTTTTTTAGTATTCCAGTATTCTTTATCACTCCCTCTCAGATACATTTTACTGCAAAGTAGTCAAAACTACTGCAAAAGTAGTCACTTTTGTAGAAAATCTATAAAAATGGTGTTTTTCTTATGCTCTCATTTGATTCTAAAGCTAAGAACAGTTGACCCTCGAACAACACAGGTTTGAACTGCACAGATCCACTTATATGCAGGTTTTTTTCAAGCAGTACACACAATACTGTGAATGTATTCTCTCATGATTTTCTTGGTAATATTTTCTTGCCTCTAGCTTACTTTATGGTCAGAATACAGCACATAATACGTATAGCATGCAAAATATGTGTTAACAGACTGTTACAGGTAAGGCTTCTGGGCAATAGTAGGCTGTTAAGTTTGGAGGGAGTCAAGTTATATGTGGATTTTCTACTGCAGTGGGTGGGCGCCCCAACCCCTGTTTGCCCAAGGATCAACTGTATAGGTCAATCTACTTCAAGTCTTAAACCACATGTCTGCGTTTCTACATCTGTAAAGTAAAGTGGGTAGACGCTGGGGGCCTCAACACAGAGTTACAAGTGTGGACTGGGGTTCATCCCAAAGAGCTCTTGCCTGCTGGGGAAACATGCAGATACTACTTAGATCCCAGACTCCCTTTGACCCTACAGAATACATCTTCCTTTACCCTTACATAAGGACCAAGGGCACTAAATCTGTGATGGAACACAGGTAACAGGAGTGTTGTCTAAAATTCAGCAGCAACCTTCGGCAGAACACTTAATCACAAAACTATTTCCCCAATGATAACAAGAGGATTAACAGAACACACATCAGGTCAATAGAGCATCGCACGAAAATACAAAAATGCCTGTGCACTGCTTAGAGCCTAGTACCAGAGGCTGAGAACCCTAGTCCAAATTATAATCGAGACTTGACTTGGAAGTCTTTCCTTGCTTGAATTTTTTTTCTAAGCTATTCATATTTAGCTTCTTGCAGGATGATTTTGGTAGGCTACCAAGAGTCACGAGAAGTCCTAGGCTTATTAATGTGGGTATGGTACATAAAATCAACTCTGCTGTGCAGTCAAGTATAAACATTCCCAAATACAGATCAACTTGACCGGAAAAACAAATGCTGGGAGCTCCGCCCTTCCTGAGGCTGGGAGACACACAGAGCAGCATTAAGTTTCCCCAAGTGCTTAGCTATATTTGAGAGAAACCAGTTCAGCACCCAAGTGCCTGAGACCCCTCGCCTCCACAGAGTGACTCTTAGGTTTCTCTTGCCACTTCTCCCAAGAGCCATCTCCCTGCCATGTTGGCTCTTGGCAAGGCTCTACCCCTATCTGAGGAGAAGTGAGTAAAAAAGACACAAGAGTCTGGCTCGAAAGCCTACATAAATGATGTGCAGCAGTGATACCACTTTGGACATCTTGAGCTATCGCCTTCACCTCCTTCAGACCTGAGACTTCCAAGGCTGGAGTTCTGGCCAGCTCTGTCTACTTCCTACTTCCGCAGGCTGTCCGCCAGAACGTTACTCCGGCCCCCCCTGCTACTCTGCAAGCCTCATTCTTGGTTAGACCCCCCCCCCCAACACATCCACCATTTCTTTTTCCTGGGGCAAAGGGTTGCTGACTGCTGCCAAATCTGTGTATCATGTGGGCACCCCTTCCTTCCACCTCCTTGCCCGGGCTTAGCTACGTCTTTTCTTATCTTTGGCCTCCTATGAATGTGTGCCTAAGTATCATTCCACTTGAATCCAGTTTGGCACATCCTGTTTTGCTTCCCCAACTCAAGAATTTACAAGACGCCTCTGAACGTCTATTTCACAGGAAAGACTTAAATCTAAATGTCAGGAACTCATTCATAAGATTAACAATGCCTAACCACCCCTACTCCTAAAATTGGCTTTATTATGTCAGTTTCATAACCTTACCTGTTTGAAGCCGTGGCATGTTAACTGTAAGAGCCGCCTTTGTGATGATCTCTATATTAAGTGTTAATTTCTTTATTTCTTTCCACCTAAATAGATGAAGCTCTAACCCCATAGCAGATGTAAACATTTGAATTCCTTATAGAAACTTGACATCTGTAACCTGATAGTAGATTTGGGTTTTCCTCTGGAGGGACAGGAGCTTTAGAAAAGTTTTTTGGTTCATGCTTTAGGTTGAGAGTGCCCTCTGCAAAACTTGACCTTTTCAGTCTATAGCAAGTAGGTTAAACACTTGATACTCTTTTTAGGAAATAAATGGGGGAGATCATTGATGATGGGAGGGATGCACCGTGTTCCTACTATTTTAACTGCTGAAAGGTCTGTTAAAAAAGGTCTGTTAGTGGAATGCCTGGGTGGCTCGGTGGTTGAGCATTGGCCTTCGGCTCAGGTTGTGATCCCCAGGTCCTGGGATCGAGTCCCACATCAGGCTTCTCTCTCTGCCTATGTCCCTGGCTCTCTCTGTGTGTCTCTCCTGAATAAATAAAATATTTTTAAAAAAAATCTGTTAAAAGAGAAATCAGGAACTAGAACATGGAGTTTGTTGCCATCAGACTAGTTACTAAATCTATAGGTCAGTCCTCTTCCTCAGGCTTCACTGTTCATATTTGCTTCTCTCCTCTCAGCCTCATCTAATTCCCAAGAATTAGGTATCACTCTCAAGATATCAAATTTAGAAAGGCTCTATGATGGCATCTAACTCAGCCTTCCCAGTTGTACAGATGAGAAAACTGAAATCCCTCAAGGGCGTTTACTCTGTCAGGAAGCACATGTCCCCAAATTCTAAAATCACAATGCCCCTCAATGCTGGGATGAGGGGCAGCTCTTTGGGAGGCACTGACATGACAGTGGGGATTGGGGAGAGCGGTGGCAGGGGCCTTTGCCACGTGAATGGCAGAGGTGCTGGGTACCTGTGAGTGCACCTGCCATCCCCGGGCGCCTGGACCTCATGCTGGTTTAAGAGCACGGCTGCGCCCACCTGCCTGTCAGAGGTGTTGGGCAGGCTGGTGGACCAGAGGGCAGTAGAGTTGTCTTTACTTCAGTTTTAAGCCCGCCTCGCCACTCACCAACACTAGAGAACCAGGCCACCCGGTCGGCATTGCCTGCCCCACACCCTCCACCCCAAAAGCCTTGTCCGCATTTTCCTTGGTTTGGACAAATGTCCTTATTTCCCTGTGTCCAGTCCTGTGTAATGGAGATGTGCTGGTAGGGGTCATTTTGATGTGCGAAACAAAGGCAGAGGGAAACATAGATAAAATTCAATGTCCCTATAACCTGCAGCCCTTTGACAAACACTGGAGGCAGTCAGAATATAGCTTCCTCCAGGAATCTCGCAACTGTCTAAATGCCTTGCTGGGGGAAAACCAACCTTGGTTTGACAATAGCAAGGCCTCTGGTGTCCTGTGTCTTCTTTAGTAGATGAAGATCCTTTTGGAACTTTATCTTTACTTCCCCCAACCCCAAAGTATATAATCATCTGTTCCTAATAATCCTAGGGCAGTGGGAGCAGCAGCAACAGCTCTTTCTGCCCATGGGGCTTGTCCCGTGCTTTAATAAAACCACCATGCTGCACCAAAGACAGTCTCAAGAATTCTTTCATGGCCGTTGGCTCTGGACCCCACCAAACCTCACCTATATATTCAAAAACTGTAATTTTACTGTGTGCAGTGAGGAAAGAGAAGAATGCATGTGGAGGTCATTGAGAAGATTGAGAATTGTGCACAAGTCTTTTCTTTTTCCTTCCCTGGCCTCACACAGTTTTTATTTGAAGTAATGATGGTGTCTCTTACTTTGTTCCCCTCACATGGGGAAAATCTCATCCATGATGCATTGGGACCAGAGGAGGCACCGGTTGTGCTGGACTGGTCTTTGGAAGCAGATTAAAACCCAGTTCATGAAGCTGCTCCTATGCCCCCCCCCAACCCTCCCCCCCTCACCCCTGTAGGCAGGTGCCCTTAGGCCACAGATGACTCTCGGTGTACAAGACAAGTTGTGTCTAGGGCAAGGAGATACTTAGGGCACGGAAATAGATTTTAGAGCTAACTTTATGTTATTAAATTTCTCACCGGACCTGAACAAGTGTTAATACCCACTCTGGGACTAAAAAATTACATAGAAACCATCATGCCCTTATATTCAATTCAGAGATAAGGTAAGTACGTCTAGAAAATGACACATTTGAACATGTGAATGATATGTTCAAATATGACCCCTCGAAGCTGACGAGGGAAAGCGCCATTTAGGGGGTGTGGTGAACATATAGGCCTTGGCCAAGCCATGAATGGAATTTAAGCTGAGAATGGATGACACATAAGGAGGGTCCTGAGATATTAAAAGACATGATTGACAGGCCTTCATTTTAAGAAGGTGAGATCAAAGATATGGGGTGGGCATGGGGGCGAGATCCACAGCTCCAGGGATGTGATAGGGCCCAGAGATTTGAATTTCTTTATTTTAAATTTTTTAATTAAAAAAATATTTTATTTACTTATTCATGAGAGACACAGAGACATACGCAGAGAGAGAAGCAGGCTCCACACAGGGAACCCGATGTGGGACTTGATCCCGGGCCTCCAGGATCAGGCCCTGGGCCGAAGGCAGATGCCCAACTGCTGAGCCACCCAGGCATCCTGAGATTCAAATTTCTGCCTCTCCCTACTGCACCACGGTAGGATGGGATGTTCCTCATGAGTTAGTCACACACTAAATTGTTCATATTTGATTCTGAAGACATTCTAGAAAAGACTTTGTTCCAAGCTGTATTGTCACCTCAAGAAGCTCTTCCCCTGACAAAGGGTAGAGGGCAAGAGTTCCCCAGCCTCACTCAAAGGTACCTCCAGCTTCCTCCTGTCTTTGGCAGGCAGTTCTAGAGCGAAGCAGAAGCAAACCATGCTGATGCCAAGCCTGCTGTGCTACTGATAAACAGGAAAGCTTGGTTCTTGTCTCACGGAATCGAAGAATGAATCTCATGGACAAAGGAGAGTGAGTAAAGGGGTAGAAGTTTATTAAGCAAAGATACAGAGAAAGCTGTCAGGAGTGAGGGGGTCCCAACAGGGTTGTCACTGAGGCTTGTAGGGTTGAGTCTTTTATTGAGAACCAACCAGGGAACCTAAATCCTTTTAACATATCTACTGATATCACCATAGTGAGTGGGGACTAGTGGTAACATCTTTAATGGCTTATTTCCTTTTTTAGGGTCCCGTAATTCTTGTTGGCCACAAGTAACCGTCTCTGACACCTGGGACAGGGTGGTCTGGCTTTAGCTCTGGTTTTCTTTCATCTCCACATTTTTGGGATTTTTGTGAGACTGATTTCATGGCCCCCTACCTAGCCCCATTTGTCCCTAACTCATTATCACTGTTCTCGGGGCCTGGAATGTTCCCCTCTCTTCTTTCCATTCTCTGCTCAAGCATCACCTCCTTCCTGACCACCTTGCCTAAAAGGTCCTCCCTTGTTCCCTCCAGTCCTGGTCCCTGGTCTATTATTCATCATTTTCCCTGTATGGAGCTCTCATGCTTGAGTGCGTAGGTTCCACAAAGGCGGAGCCTGCCATGGTTGTTTTCCAAGGTGTCCACAAATGGGCTGACAAAACGACAGGTGTCTTCCCACCCACTGGTTGGATGACCCATGCAACCCAGAGGAGAGGGGTGGAGAACACCTCTGGCCGCACCTCCTACAGCTTCTGCAAGGGTTCAACAGCTTGGGTGCTGAAAGCCTCAGCCCTCCTTAGTGAGGACTGGCTTCTAGATCAGAGCCGGGCCAGCCAACGGGTGGAGCAGGAACCCTGCGAATGCGGGAATGCGGTGCTGCTCCACTTTCACATATTCCTCCTCTTGCAGGAACAGTTTGAGCAATCCCGAGAAGACTTCGCCCATCAACTGGGGACACCTACTTTGTGATTGGGATCCTTAAGAACAGGCTGTGATGGTGCAAGGCGGCGGGGGAGGGCTGGCGGGAGTGCCGTTCCCCATCATGTGCTCCCGTGGGGAGCCCCCACCCCCCCCCCCCGGGCTAGCCGGTATTGGATTCAGGATAAGCTCACACCCACAGCGGTGGCTGCTGACGCTCCAGCCTGGTCTAGGGTCTTGAGTGTGTCGCTTTGTGCTGTTGTAGCCCCAGAATGACCCGTGTGCCCCAAACAGATCCCAGCCTGATGCAGGAGTGCCTTTCCATGCTGTCTTGAATACTTTTTTTTTTTTTTTTTTTTTAAGCAAAAACCAGTTTGCATTTTTTAAAAGGGAGTTTTGGTTTCATTTCTGTTATGCTAGGGCAAAAACAGAGCTCTAATTCTTGACAACAAATTCTTAGTCATGGGGGAGGGGGCAAGGGTTTTAAGTATAAGCCACAGGAGAATAATTGGGCAGGGAAGAAAAGTGAAAACAACAAAACGCTAGTTTTGCTTTCAGCCAGGCTTCCCTGAGTAATATTTGGAACTGTTATGCAGGCAAGATTCAGTAAATTCAGTAACTTGCTAGGAGCTCAGTATCTTTGTTGTCTGCTGGGTCCTGACTTCCCAGACCCTTAATCAATCCCTGCCTTTCGGAGGTGTTAGCAGGGAGAGCAGTGTTGCCTTTTCTCCTTCTGGCTCTCGGTTCCCTGGAGCAAGTGCCCTATCTCATCCAGGCAGCAAACTCTCAAAAGGTCTGATTCTGTGCAGCCCGTTGGGATTGTAATTTGAGTGAGGCACGGTCCCCAGGAAAGCCTTGCAGCCCTAAGCGGGGGGGGGGGGGGGGGGGGTGGGGGGGGTGGGGGCATGAGCTCGGGCTCCTCCCGGGAGCTAGTGAGGAAGTCAATTTCTGGCCTCACTCCAGCCCAGTTCCATGACAATTTGCATTTGAAAGAGATCACCAGGTGATACACCTGCACTTTAAAGGTTTGGTTGCAAAAGGGTAGAAATAGGTGATTTCGGGCATTAAGGGCTTGGGAAGTGAAAGTATCCTATCCCTTCCACTGTAGTAAGTAGGGTGTGCTGCTTAGTTCCTTCTGCTGCAGCCCTGTTGCCAGTGCTTACGGACCTGAATGTTCCTACCTCTGAGTTGGCTTTTATTTTTTTTTTAAGATTTTATTTATTTATTCACGAGAGACAGAGAGAGAGAGAGAGAGAGGCAGAGACACAGGCAGAGGGAGAAGCAGGCTCCATGCGGGGAGCCCGACATGGGACTCGATCCCGGGTCTCCAGGATCACACCCTGGGCTGAAGGCAGCGCTAAACCGCTGAGCCACCCGGGCTGCCCTGAGTTGGCTTTTAAAGGGAAGATTCAGCTCAGGGAAAGGCGCCCTTAAATCAGCCGCTTGAAATGAGAGCTGGCCCTGCCCGCGACTTAGTCTCCTCCATGGACCAGAGCTGCCTACCTGTGATTTTCGGCACCACCGTTTACAAAAGGAAACGATTTCTAGTCTCACTTCATGCTGGAAACTGGAGCTTTTAGCTTTTTCTACAATAAACTGGGCTTGGCTGAAAAACGGCACTTGGAACTTGGAAATAAAGCAGTCAGGGATTTAAGTGGGGCCCGTCGGCTCCTTTTAGCAAATCTTATGCTAAAAGGGGGCAAAGATATAAGTGCTAGATTTCAGAAACAGTGCCGAAGCAGCCAGGGTATTGTTGGCAACGAATGATTAAGCTCCCAAAGTTTGTACTGGAGACAAAAAAAAAAAAAAAAAAAAAGCTTTTGTGTGTATACTGAAACTCTGTGTTCAGCTTTCATTTATAAACAAGAGGTCTATGCCCATGTTCCTTAAATATTTTTGTTGTTGTTGTTTATGATAGACATAGAGAGAGGCAGAGACACAGGCAGAGAGATAAGCAGGCTCCATAGCAGGAGCCCAGTGTGGGACTCGACCCTGGGACCCCAGGATCCCGCCCTGGGCCAAAAGCAGGCGCTAAACCGCTGAGCCACCCAGGGATCCCCTAGGCTCATGTTCTTTAACTCAATGTAGTGAACGGGTTCCATTGCGTACCAACTATTTATGGTCCTCTACGTCCAGGGTGAGGTAGCCAAGGCACAGGGCAGCATAGGGTTCGTCCGTTCAAACCCACCTGGCTCCTAGGAGAGAAACTTCAATGACTTCGACTTTCACACAAAAAAATAGAGGTAAATCCTATGTATCCTTGAAGAAATGTGAATATGAGTCAATCAAGTCACCCCACAAAAGCTGCTGGTATTCGTGCGGCTCTGGGTTTATTTTACGAGCTTCAATCAAACAGAGCCAGTATACTGGTCTCTTGAGAGTTTGCAGGCAAATAAATTATACAGCGGGGTGGCGGGGGTGGCGGGGGTGGCGTGGGGGGGGGGATGTAAAGCTCAGTGGCATTTCCGGATAGCGTCTGCAGGTGCTACAAGGGTCTCCGGACCTCTGCTGCTGACTTGGGACTTCTGGTCATCGCGCCCACACGGTGCACAAAGGAGCCCTTTTCCCAGATGTCCTCCGGCTTCAAGGATGAGCAGCTCGTCCCCCGAGGATCCTCCTCCCCTCTGGGGAAGGAAACTGAACTCTACGGCGGGGAACCCCCAAAGCCAACCTGACCCGAGCGTCCGAGCAGCCTCGTGTGGGCCCAGGAGAAGCTCAGCCTCCAAAGCGGTCGCAGGCACGCGTCCGGGGTCGGTGTCCGAGGGCGCCGCCGCCGACTACAGGTCGGAGTCGCAGGGCGGCGGGGGGGCGGCGGCGGCGGCGGCGGCGGCGGGCGGCGGGCGCGGCATGGGGAAGCCGGCTGCGGGCCGGCGGGGCAGGTGCGGGCCGTGGCCGCGGGGCCCGACGGCGGGCGCGGGCCAGTCGACCTGCACGGTGCTGAGGCTGCCGCGCCGCGCGGCCCCGGGGGGCTGCTTGCGGCGGCGGCGGCGGCGGCGGCGGAGCTCGGCGCACACGGGCGCGAGGCTGAGCGCCAGCGAGGAGCCGCCCAGCAGCAGCAGGCCGCCGCCCAGGTAGCCCAGCACCAGGCTGTAGCCGACGTGCAGCGAGGCCGGGCTGGCGTCGGCGGGCAGGACGGCGCGGTCGGCCAGCCGGTGGCTGTACCAGGACACGGGCGCGAGCCCGAGCAGGCCGGCGGCGACCAGCCCCACGCCCGAGAGGCCGGCCAGCGCGAAGCGCGGCTCCTCCCGCCAGCAGCGCACGCCGAGCGCCGCCAGCAGCAGCCCCAGCGCCGCGGCGGCCAGCGACGAGGGCATGAGGGCCCGCGCGGCGCGCACCGGCGCCGCCTCCAGGTAGCCCCAGCGGTCGGGCTGGCCGCACTGGCGCTCGCGGCTGCTCTGCTCGCGGCACAGGTCCCACAGGCCCTGGTGCAGCTCCACGTCCACCGGCTGGTCGGGGAAGCCCTTCACCAGCCGCCAGCCGGGCGTCAGCGTGGCCGTCAGGCTGAGCAGCAGCCCGCAGGGCGCGAGCACCAGGCCCAGCGTCATCACCGCCGGCGTCCGCATCCCCGCGCCCCGCGCCCCTGCCGGCCGGCCCCGGCCCCCGCCCCGGCCCCGGCCCCCGCCTCCCTCCGCGCCGCCGCCACCCAAACCGGCGCGCGGGCGGGGGACACCGAAACCGCGGCCGCCCGGTGGGAGGGGCGCGGGCCCGGGCGCCGCCGGCCTGCGGAGGTCGCTCCGCCCCCGCTCCTGGGGCGGCTCCGCGGCGGGCGGGCCCGGGGGGGGGGGGGCGGCGGCGCCGGCTCTGCCCCGTCCCGGCGCCTCCCGGGGTGGGGGGCGGGCGGCTGCGGCGCCCCCCGGGTCCCCGTCGGGGCGCGGCCCGGGGAGCGCACCTCGTTGCTTACGGAGCCTGGGCCGGCGTGCTTCGTCGAGGTTCGGGTCGACTCCGGAGAATCAGAGGGAGTGTGTTTCTGGCATGCGGGCCAGAGGATATTATTTTTATTTTATTTTTTAAGATTTATTATTTATTTGTGTGTGTGTGAGAGAGAGACACAGGCAGAGGGAGAAGCAGGCTCCATGCAGGGAGCCCGACGCGGGACTCGATCCCCGGACTCCAGGATCGCTCCCCGACCCAAAGGCAGGCGCCAAACCGCTCCGCCACCCAGGGGTCCCCATATTTTTATTTTTATTATTCCCGTAGAAGATTTTGAAGAGGCCAGACAAGGGAAGGGTGTTACTGGGTGTCGTGTCTGGCACACTCTCCAGTTGTATTTAGCCATAGAGGGTCCCGTGTCTGTTCGTTGCCTTTGAGCTACTTTCTACCTCTGTGAATCTGTAGAAAGCCTCTTAGCACCGCCAATGGATTTTGTTCATAGAAAGGCAAAGGAGAGGGGCGCCCGGGTGGCTCCGCGGTTGAGCGTCTTTGGCTCTGGTCGTGATCCTGGGGTCCTGGATTCGAGTCTTGCGTCGCCCCCCCCCCACACACACACACAGGGAGGTTGCTTCTCCCTCTGTCCCTGTCTCTCCCTCTCCTTCTATGTCTCTCATGAATAAACAAATAAAATCTTTAGGAAGGAAGGAAAGAAGGAAGAAATGCAGAGGAGCGGATCCTGGGTGGCTCAGTGGGTTGGGCATCCCACTCCTGATTTCCCCTGAGGTGGTGATCTCCGGATATGGGATCAACCCGGGCCTGGGGCTTGGGGCTCTGCACACCCAGCGGGGAATCTGCTTGGGATTCTCTCCCTCTCTCTCTGCCCCTCCCCCTTACATTCCCTTCCTTGTTTCTCTCTAAAATAAATAAATAAATCTTAAAAAAAAAAAAAAGGAAACGCAAATGAGTTTGAGTCAGTAAAACCTAAATGATTATTGGCCAATGGATACAGACCAATTTGACATTGATTGGTAAACGTTTTTACCTGTTTACCTGTAAATGTGTTCTTTGCATTCTTCTTTGAACTGGTTGTAACATCATACTTGTTCCTTGCTTGATAATGACTTAAATAAAACCTTCGATACAAGTTCATTTTACACTTGTGTGAGTCATGATTTTACTTTTTCTAAAAAATGATTCTCAACAATGTTTTTCTCATTTTCCGTAATTCTTACAATGGAAGTGTATTACCTTTAACCAATTATGGTTAAAATTAAAACTATTGCTAAAAAGCAAAGTTAAATGTTGAAGTGATTTTGAACACTCTAGAGTAGATAATAACCATATAAAGGAATCACTACCTTTGTCTCTAAAAACATTTTTTTTTAAATTGTGGTAAAATCCACATGACATGGAATTTATCTTAACCATTTTTAAGTATACAGCCCATTGGCATTAAGCACATTCATACTGTTGTATCACCATCATCCATTTCTCGAACTTTATCTTCCCAAATTGAAACTGTACCCACTGACCAACCAATAACTCCCCATTCCACCACCACTCTTCATGCTTCTAGCCCCTGCTAACACCATTTACCCCTTCTGTCTCTGTGAATTTGAGTCCTGGGGATACTTCATATAAATGAAGTCATACAGTATTTATGAGGCTTATTTCACTTAGATAATGTCCTCTAGGTTCATGTATGTAGCATGTGCCAGAACTTCCTTCCTTTTTTTAAAGGTTTTTAAAAAGACTTTATTTATTCATCACACACACACACAGAGAGAGAGAGAGAGAGAGAGAGAGAGAGAGGTGGACACAGGCAGAGGGAGAAGCAGGCTCCATGCAGGGAGACTGACATAGGACTCAATCCTGGGACTCCAGGATCACACCCGGGCTGCAGGCAGCACTAAACTGCTACGCCACCGGGGCTGCCCAATTTCCTTTCATTGTATGGCTGAATGATAGTCCACTGTATGTATACACCACATTTTGTTTATCCATCCATCCTTTGATGCACACTTTGATTGCTCTCACCTTCTGAGTTGCTCTATGGGTGATTAGATGACATTTCAGGGCCTTGAATCAAAAAGTCATGCTCTAGAAGAAAAGTCTACAGGCTTCAGCCACAATACCTGTTACTAATGCTCTTTCTCTGGTGACGTCATTCCTGTCTGAGATTTGTGGTTTGGCTAGAAATATCAGCAAGATGTTCTTGCCCCTCTAGGAACAGAGTATTAGAATCCAGACACCTGATGCATGCAAGAACACCACCCCAGCCTTTGATTTATAAATCACTGTGTTTAGAGGCTGCCAGAGAAGTCCATCTCTCTTGACCTCAGCCAGAGGGTTAGCTAATCCTGCTACGGAATATTGCCTCCAGTGAACTCTCCTGACAGATGCTACATAGAGAGAACTGAGACTTCGTCAAATTTACAGAACAGATCAAAAGACTGCTTTTGCGCCTGCTTGCTAAAAAATGAATGGTTGTGTTCTGGAGTTTGATCTAAGACACTCTCTGAGACTGAGTATTGGAAGTTACTGACCTATATACATTTTTAAGTGAGGTATAAATGACATACGATGTAGTGCACACATTAAATTTGCTAAGTTTTGATATACATATAACACCTGTGAAACGGATTACTGTAATCAAGATGGTTGTAAACACATCCATTCCCCACAGCAGTTTCTTTCTTTCCTTGGAAATCCTCCCTGTCATCTGCCCCTGCCACTCCCTAACCCCAGGCAACCACTGATCTTCTTTCTGTCAGCATAGATTGGTTTTGCATTTTCTAGACTTTTGTATTAAGTGGAGTCTAGCAATTTAGACTGCATACAAAGGACTATTAGCTTGTCCCCCTCCGCCCAGCAGCTCCCTCATTGGTCTGAACTCAAGATCACCTGGGGCCAGCACTTAGGGAAAACACAGATTGCCATTGAATGGGATTCCCCAGGGCATTGTGATGGAATTTGTGTGCTTACAAGCCCCCAGGGGATTCTTAGGTTTAGGGAAGTATAGAACCCAAAGCCAGAGTGGCCAAAACCAATCGAAATCCCCTTCAGGTCTGAGAGGACATTTTTGCTTTTGAATGCATTTCACCGCTTTATCTCTAACTTTACTGTTGTTTAGAACAGCAGAGAGACTTCAGAAAGACTTTAGGGATCTGAATCATTTAGAGTTCCATGTGGAATGAATGAATCCCAGGCAGTGTGACCTGGGAGGTGGACGTGAATCTGCTCTGCGTCCTAAATCTGCCTCCTGCCCTTGGACTTCTCCTTCTTTTTTGTCTCTACCTAAGCCCATGACATGCTGTCATCTTTCCCCTAAATTGACTTTGAACTGGTTTCCTACACTCATGCTTTTTTTTTCCATTTCTCTTAGCCACACAGGCCCTCAGAACTGACATTGTAAAGTTGAAACTGAATCTTGTGCCTACACCAACCCTCCCCTTAAAAAAAAATTTTTTTTTTGAGAGAGTTAACATGTGTTGGTGGGGGTGGGGGGCATGCAGAGGAAGAGGGGGAGAGAGAGAATTTTAAGCAGGCTTCACACCCTGTGTGGAGCCTGACTTAGGGCTTGATCTCACTTCCCTGAGATCATGACCTGAGCTGAAATCAAGGGTTGGAGGCCCAACCGACTGAGCCACCCAGGTGCCCCCTACATGAACCCCTTTTAAGCCATCTACAGCCCAACCCCAGATCCCACTCTGGCCTATCATCCCTCCCCCCTTCCTCACACCACTTCCCCCAAAATTTGGATTTTTTTTCTCATCTTTTTCAAAGTGTTGTGTTCCCTTTCGTCCCTAGATCTTTGCATAAGCTGTTTCTTTTCCTAGAGTCCTGCTTGCCCTTTCCTGACCCCAAGGCACCCTTCAGGTCTTTGCTTAAATACTGTTTTCTCTGGGAGAGCTTCTCAATCTCCAGGATGGGGTTGACTTTTCCTGTTGGGTCCTGCCATACACTCTCTCCTGCTAGAGACCTGCCACATTTCCTCATTCCTTGAACCACCTGGTTGTCCAGCTAGGGCAGGGGTAACCTTTGCCTTGTTCTGCTGAGCCCTGAAATCCATCTTAGGGCCTGGCTGCAGTAGCCACTCAACAAATCAGTTGTATTTCCTTCTGCCCTGCATTCTTGCACACAGGATCCACAGGCTTCTCTTACAGGTGACTACCTGACGAAAACAGGTTGCTAATGTGTCTCAGTAAGCAAATTTGCTTGTCTGTTGTATGAACACTTGCTTTTCGTTAGCATAGAAAACAATGAAATATGGGATAGCTCCAGATATTCATGACAAAGAAGTGTAGCCCTGTGGGGGTAACGTTCTATGGTAGAAAAGGAGAGAAATGATGGCAGTAAGGGTAGCATCTGAGTGTGTAGACCTGGGCTCTTTGTGCTATGGGCTTCCAAGTTCATTGTAAGGCTGAGTGAGATGAAAGCACGACTCCTGGTGTGGCAGAAATGAATTATGGCTGAGATTAGCACCCGTCAGTGGAAGCTGATCCCCAGGCCCTGTAATAGCTTTCTTTTCTGAAGACGGGTCTTATGATAAGACAAGAATCTACTCAAGTTGCCCTAGGTTTCCAGATGAATAGTGAGCTCCTAGCCGCTCATTCTACAGGGAGTGAAGCCAAGTCCTCTGTTAGCCCTCCCAGGCTGGGTCACAGAGAACACCTGGTACACAATTCCAATCTTCTGCAGTGACTTGATCTTGG